TATAGTAGAGTGATATAAAATAAAAGAGCTAACAAACTTACAAAAGAAGATGCATAGCAAAATGAGAATACAGATTTAAAACTTGAAAGAAATTCAAAATTTCTATATACATTATTTTAGAAAAAGTCAGTAATAGAAATATTAATAAGAAAGTTTGTCAAGATATTAATGAATAAAATAAATAGTGCTAAATAATAATTCTTAAGTATAATAAAAGAACTAGAACCAAATACAGAGATATAAAAAGATTAAAAACAGCTATGGAAGGAAAATAGAAAGTTAACAAAAAACAAGTGTAAATATCTAGAATAGAGTAAGAAGATTTTATTCAGAATTAAGTATATTACTAATGGTTTACCAATTTTTAATATACTAAAAAAAAGTGTGTCTAACTTATATGAGTCAAATATATATAAGAAATACAAAATAAAAAAAGAATCATTAAGACATTTGCTCAGCTGTGAAGAATATATGAGCTATTAAAATAATATCAAAGAGTTAGCATGTTGGTTAGTATAAAAAAGATTTAACAAATCAAACAAAAACAAACTTATAAGACTTGATTTAAGAAGAACACTAGTTGATGAGACTGAAGTAAATAGAATTAAATATAAAAAGGCATACATATATGATTTATCAGTTGAGAGTATATTTAAGAAGTTGTATTCTAAACAAGTTTTATGAAAAGGTGTAAAGCAGAGTATTAGATTATATATTAATATTGTAGAGAAAATGTTTAAAGAAGAAATTTGATGATAAAGATGTAAAACAGTAATTAAGTAAAAGAAAGAAAATAGTATAACACCAAAATTAAAATAAAAAAGAGTCAAGATAGTTGAAAATAAAGGATATAGTACAAAAAAAATTAAAAGTAAAGATATCTTAGTGAATAAGATCAAAGTGATGAAGAGTAAAGAAAAAGAGGCAAAGCAGAGGCAGTTATTTATAAAAGGTATTAATAAAATAATACAAAATAGAAATAATTCATTCTGGTTTAGTTTTTGATAAAGCTAACAAAGTCATTTAATCTAGAAATAGATTTGGTATAACAAGTTATATTTAGATGCAGTTTTTGTATTTGAATGATATCAGGCTTGCAATTTCAAAAAATGAATTACTAGAAATAGATAATATTTTAGTTAGTAAAATTTTGTATTAAAGCTTTAACAAGAAATAAAAAAAAATTATTATATAATTAAATTATAATATTAACTAAAAATACATTAAGTCTATTAATGTATTCTATATAATTACTTTAATCTATTTAAACAAACTATTTTTCTTATATTATTAGTTACTTTATTTCTAATACTAAACTTTAATTATTTATTGATTTTAATAATTAAATAATTATTGATAAGATCAAAAAGCATAATACTCTATAGAACTTATTCTTATTATTTATTAATACTGTTTATTCTAGTTTTAGTTTTTCAATTTCTATTTTATTTATCTTTTATTACTACAATATACTTTAAATATTATTTTAATTTTAATACAATTGTTAACAAATATACTATTTTTATTTCTATAAACTTAGTTACTAAACTACTCTGTTATATTAATCTTAATAAAACTTTTAAGTTATATGCCAACTTTTTTAACATTATATACTCTGTAGCTATATGATATCTTTTATATATTTTATCTCTTTTTTTCATTAACAATTAACTTATAATAACTGTTTTGTATTTTTTAATTAGACCAACTTACTAATAGTTTACAGTTTATTGCTAACTTTAATCACAATTTATTTACTATTTCATTCTATATTGATAGTTTTATTATTAAATTTGGTATCTTCTAATGCTTTATAAACATAGGTTAGATTTAAGTAGATAACTTTCAATTACTTACTTATTTTAGATATAAATTAAACTTTGGTTATACTATTTTAAAGCTAAAATATTTGTTATCCTTTTGGCAATTATTATTATTTCTAAAAACTGTTTTGTTTATATTTTTATTAACTTACAATTAGTAATCTCTAAATATCATAGTATTAGTATTTAAACTCTCTTATATATATTTTATATTTTTTTATTTAACAACTTTTTATTAATTTTATTAATTTTTATAATATTCAGTTTACTTTTTACAAAGTTAGTATATACCAAAATAACTTATTAATAATCTTGCTAATTAACTTGTTCATAATTATTAAATAATATTCTTTATAATATTCTTAACTAATAATTCTTATAATTTTGTTTATATTCTATTTATTGACTAATTTCTTATTTAAGTTTCTATTTAATACTTTATTTATACTATCTATTAAGCTTATATTATAACACTTTAGATATTTTAACATCACTTTTAATAATAGTCTACTATTGCATCTGATATTAATTAGAAAATTATTTGACTTTACATTAATAATAATCAAAAATTTTTAATTTTATTCATAACTTCTATTTTTTTACTTTTCTTTTTCTATCAAACATTTTTTCATTTAAACTAACAAATATATAAACAAATATAAATCTTATACTGTATTTCATGTTTTGCACAATCTTAAATTATATTTTCTACTAACTTAATTTATAGTTTTTCTTTAAGTCTACTATTTTAATACTACAAATTATTACTAAATTGATTTTTAAACTATTTAATAGATTAAATATCATATACTTTTTTTTTATATTATTACTAATATTCAAATCTAAGTAAGTTTTAACCACTATTGTAGATTTAAATTGCAGATTACATATCTGAGTTTTTATTCTTTATATATAATTTTAAAACAAGTTTTTCTTTGTAAAAACTTCAATTAAATTTTAATAAAATTAAAATTAAATTCTTACTTTTAATATTAAAAAAAAAATACATTAAACAAAAATTATGTAATTAATTAAGACTTTAGCAATAATTTTACTAAAAAACTGACATAACCAAATTACAAGTATGTATTAAAAAAAATGATCTACAAATGATTTACATAAAATTAACCAATTAAACAAATTTTTGCCTATGACAATAAGGGTTAACTTCTTTAAGTAACTGGTCATATAAATATAACTAGGAAAATGGAGACCATTCAAAGTCCGAAGGATTTTTGTTTTATGTTACACTTGATCTAGCCAATAAATATTGGTCATTGGTTGTTTTGATTTTTTACATTACACCTGATCTAGCCAATCAAAATCCGTAATTTGTGCACACACAAACAGACATCAGGTGCTCTATGCCTCAACAGTAATGTCCTTCGGACAATAAAACCGATGAGTTATAATTCTGATCAAAATTGTCGATCATTTTTGTCAAATATTAAATTATTTTACTTCAGTTCTGGTCAAATAATTATCAAATAAATGTATAAGTTAATTGGTTATGCTCATTCGTTCATTTATTCGTTTTTGAATGTTTACGAATTTGACCAGAATTATAACTCATTGGTTTTTATATTTATTAGGCTAAGTAGATCAGCCGATAAGCATAAACTAATACGTCACTCTTGATATAACGGACTTTGATATAACGGTGCTCTCCAGCACCTAAATTAATAGATTGTTGCTCAATTTTTAATTAGTAGAACATAATTTGGACGGTCTAGACCATCTTTTTTTTATCAGAGGTGTGTTTATTGGCTAAAATTTAAGATCCAAATTTCGCAATATGAACCTTCAGCAGAATTGCCGTAAGAATGACTCAATTAATTATGATGCACGATTTCGTTTACTAGTTGATCACATTGAGAAAGATGCTCTCAAGCACCTTAAGGGTGCACCTAAATTAATAGATCGGTGTTCAATTTTTAATTAACTTGAACTCTCGTCATCGCAATGAAAAAAAAATAGTCTAGACCATCTTTTTTTATCATAGAGTTGTGTTTATTGGCTAAAATTTAAGAACCACATTTCGCTTTAGCAAAATTACCGTAAGATTAAATTATGGTGCTTGTGCACGATCTCGTTTACTAGCTGATCGTATGATTGGCTGTTTAAATCAATTTAATTTTACATTATTTATACAGTTTAAACTACGAAGAACAAACAAAATGGTTTTAATGGTTAAAGCCTTCTTATGAGTTTACATTGAGGGAGATGTTTGAGAACACCCTAAGTAAAACCTTGATATAATGGATCAAGATTCAGATCCACATAATAAATACTACTTGAAATGTATAATGGATTTACCAATAAAACTCGGAGCCCGAGCGATCAAGAGTGACGTGTATACTGTATATACAATTTTTTAGACCCCCTTCTAAGTACGCAGTTTTATTATTGGTAAAAAATTACGAAGGTACAATTTTTGTGGGAAAGCTACCTAATATAGATAACCAGCCAATAAAATTATAATACAAATTAGAACAGCAGTACCTTGGTAACTGCAATAAACGTTAAAAATAGCAAATTCTGCGGAACGTATAAATAATTTATTCTGTTCGCAGATTCTGCCACCGCAGTACTCTGGACACTTTATGATCCGTATTTAGCATGTAAGAATCCTCTGACAGACAAAGAATCAATATTTTAGCTGATTCAATATCTTCTAAAAAAAATTCTCAATTATTCTTTTGCACGGGAATGCTCGATATCAATACGAGTTTAAATTGAAAAACGAACTGTTTGTGCAAATTTATATTTGAAAAAAAAACAAAATTTAACATTATACATAATATATACATAATAAAATATAAAGAGAATCATTGTGGGATTTTTTTTACGTAGCGTTAGTATGTACGTACTGTACCTAGTTTGGCCATACGAAATATATGATACCGATATCTGATATTTCTCATTACGTAACTTTTGTGAAACGATCAACGTGATTAGACACGCCATATAGCGATAGTCGGAGTCTTTTTTCGGCGTTAAATATTTTTAATTACTTCAAACATGCGAGGATTCCGAGGATTTCGAGGATTCAGAAGTTCAAGAACATATATTCAATTGGGAGACGACAATGGTTTCACCGATGCGCAGTTTCACACTCCTGTTTACCCAAGTATATATTTCTTAATAAGATTCATATCCCTTAAAGTTACTGTATATTCACCGTTTTTCTTTTTTGATCGTACTAGTTCCATGGAATTCCATTATTTTGGCTGCTGTATTATTCGTGCTAGGTTCTTTAGGAATAATTTTTGGGTCACTCATTATGACCGGAATCATTTCTAGTGAGGTAATAATGGTTGTCTGTTGTTTAGTTAATTATGATAGATCATAACACTTAGATTTCGCTCAAATGATTAATTTCAGGCTTGGCTCGATAGAGGAAAGCCTTTTATTTTCCTTGGATCTCTATTATTCATACCTGGTATATTAAAATATATGAAAAAAATGTCATTCCGTCGATTATAGTACAAGTCACTCTCGTCACAGTGAAGCCATTGAGCTGTGAAACTTTCTTCACTATCTTGGCTATATTGTGTGTCTATTAGTAAATTCACTATACTTGTATCGAGAATTCACCATACTTATATTGAGAGTTCATTATAATGAGGGTGACTTGTAATCGATATAAAATTTAATGTTCTCTGAGAACACAAATTTTAGGTTACACTTGTGTGAGACCACAAAAAATTTCAGGATCTATTATAGAGTTGTTCTTGTGAGAACATTAAATGTAATTATTTCCGATTTCTAACTTTTATTTATACGAATTTTACCAATTAGGTTTTTATCATGTTCGGCTTGCTTATTATGCATTCAAAGGTTACGAAGGATACGATTTCAATCAAATCCCTGACTGGTGATAGATTGACTCCTCTTATTTACTATACTCCAACATTTTGTTATTTATTTTATAATTGTTTCGTAAATTTGGTAAAAGTAAATAATATTAATACATTTATTAAAAAAAAAAAAAAAAAAATGGTACGAATACTTTTTGTGTTCTATAAGGCATTTTAATATACATAAACATTAAATTCCAATACCTTTAATTATGAAAATCAAATAATGTCAACTATAAAATTATAACTCCAGTAGTTCCCCCACCAGCAATCATTAAAAGACCAACCAATAAAACTATTCGCGTAAACCTTCGATTTAATTGTAAATGTTCTTTAATAGTCTCTATCTCTTTTTCTTTTTCCGCTGAAGCCTGCGCCCTTTTTTTCTCAACCTCATAATGTCTTTGAAAATGTTCATTAAAATTAAATTTCAATTTCTTTCGTTGACCTTGATATTTTTGATCTGATTCAAAGTTTGATTCAAATGTCGTCCCTTCTGATGGATTACCATACATTCCATAATTTTGTTTTCGGTTCCTTCTGACTTTAGGACGGAAATGAATTGATGTTTTATTTATGGGATTTCTACTATTACTACGTAAGCTTTGATGTGACAATGAACGATCATACTCTCTTCGACTTTGCTCGTTACCTAAAATTGAATACGCTTCGTTAATTTGTAAAAATTTGCTGTGTGCTTTTTCATCATTAAAATTAACGTCCGGATGATATTTTTTTGATAATTTGTAAAATTGTGTTTTTATTAAACCACGATCCGCATCTTGAGGAATTTCTAACGTATCATAATGTCGACGATAGTTTGCAAAAGTTGTCGACATTAAACGAAGTTGCTGAGACGCGGTAAAATAGCGGAAATAGTATAAACGCTTGTTGGTTAATAAGAATGAGGTTATAATGGCCTGGGGGAGAGCTCTACGAGACAGTAATATTACCATTGATCGTCATGTGAATTTCTCGATGCAGAAGCCTTTAGAACTACAGAACTAGCGCTTATATATCTAATACGTATACGTGAGTCGCTTACATTAATCTTGCACGTAGGATATCTATATACCTAATTGGCTAATTTATGTAATCATTGACTTATACGTATAACGATAACGATAATATGTATTTCTCTATTTGTTACATATTGATATATTTATATCCGCCACATACGTAGATAAACATTCATTAAATTTTATCATCATTACGTACAACCTTTGCCACATTTTCGTTATCGCTTTTGGTATACGTACATATTAAAACATATTTACCATTAAGAAATAAATTAAACATCTTGGTCACGGGTATTAAATGTGATTGGTGCATATTTGATAGCAATAGGTTCGGTTAATATCCAATAGGAAACCTGAGTTCTTAGTCACATGGATATATTTGATTATCAGATATCGATATCGAATTTAAGAATTTAATAAAAATGCCAACTATAATAAACGTCGTTTCAGTAGTAGACGATTTACAGCCTCGTAAGCACCAAATGTAGATAGTTATATATTTATAATTTGATAAGATTAAACTATATTCATTGTTGCTCCAGACTACACACGAACACCAAAACCATGTATATGGCTTCCACGAACATGGTGCCTTAAAAATAATATACGTCCAAACCAAATTTTATCTCTCGGTTATTATGATCAAATTCAATCATCTGATCAAAAATGCACAAAATTTTTCGCTTCAGTGAAACTGTATTCAAAATATTCTGTTTTATTTCGTGATAATCCTTCATTTCCTGATAAATTGGATTTTAAATTATTGGACCTATCACAAAATTCTGGCATTTCGAATACAAACCATGAATTTGATAAAGGTGACTCGCAAGCTGTTATTTCAAGATTACTAGCTTGTAATTTAGGTATTTGTTCTTTATTTGGCAGAATGGATAATATAAATTTTCCTATACGATTAAATTTTATTGAAGTGGTATGTATATTTATTCTGTATTATTCTTGCACACACTTCATATAATTTGTTTTTATATTGTCTGGATAGGTCAATAACATTCCAATTGCAACTCACGTCATTTTGTTCGGTATAACCAACAATTTTACTTATGTTCATCATCATGATGATAATAATTCAGTGAATAACAAAATCGATGAAAATCTTATTAAAAGAGTTCATTTAGGATCTATTATTTCAACTAATGCTTGGATTTGTTATCAAGGATGTAATGGAATGCAATTTTTAAAAATCTTGGAAACTCATATAAACGATGATAATATTAAATCATCGATTTTAACAACTAAAAATACTGTTATTTCATCAATCGAATTGAAGGATCATATTTCAAAAATTTCTGAAACAACAAAGATTGAAATTATTAATGATCCAAATGTGTTATTTATAAGATGTCAGATAGATGGTTTACAAAGGATTTATCAACCTATATTTTATGAACCAAAATTTCAGGATAAATCCAAATGGTTGGAAAGAATAGTTAAACAAATTGGGGGTTTAGATGATGTTATTTTAGAAATCATTGAACAGATTCATACTTTTATTGTGACTGCATTATGTGGAAAATTTAGAAAAGGTGTGAAAAGAAGTAAGGGTATATTGTTGATAGGAAAACCCGGAACAGGCAAAACATCACTTTCCTTATGTATAGCTGGTATGATTGAACACTCTATTTGGATGATTATTTTAATAAGTTTTGTGTTTTACTAAATCTCGGAGTTTCTTCGTCTCTAAAAGAAACGTCTGGATTACCATATGTAGTAATAAATTGCCCAGATATTTTCAAAACTGGTATCTACCAAGTTATTTTTTTTTAATTGTTACTTTATAATTTAATTAATACATTGATATTTATTCTTATTGTCATTAAATTTTCTGAAATCAGATGAGGGTGATGCGGAAAAAGAAATTGGTTTAATATTTGAGTCAATGTTACGTCACAGAGTTTCTATTGTCATATTGGATGAGATCGATATTATTGCCGATACTTTTGCAAGTAATCGTGCAGGTTTGAATTCTAGATTTCAATTTTATATTTTATCCATGAATTTCTTTTGTTTATTAAAATTGAAATTATAAAGGAGTAGAAGCAAAGTTATTTTCAATAATTGTAAAGTTAATTGACTCGATTAATGAAAATGTCTGGGAAAATCCATGCAAAGGTCAGATATTTATTATTGGTAAGTACTATTACCATGATCTTTTTTTTTTAAACAATATATATAGTGTTTATATAGCACTGTTTATAACATATAACCAATTTTTTTCATTAGGGGCGACCAACCGTCATCATGCGATCAACAGCAATCTTTATCGTCCTGGAAGGCTTGATCGTATCTACGAACTCGGTATTAAAAAGCCAGATCAAAGATTTGGAATTTTAAAAATAATGGCAGAGAGTATGTATGAGATAGTTTAATTCGTTGTCTCAAAAAATCCGATATATTGTTTTTTTTCTATTGTATTATAGAACTTCCATTTGTTGAGGAGCAAAAGGATTTAATATTGCAAAAAGTCAGTAGAATGACACATGGATTTGTTGCTACCGATTTACAATCTCTTTGTACACAAGTTGCAATGCAACTGGTTAGGGAGCATACTAAAAATAATGATAGTGATTCATATGAGGTAGTATAACATTACGAAACTTTGAGTTTAATTTACTATCATCATTGATTATTAAGTAATTTTCCAACATCTTTGTAAGGATCCAGATAATCCACATACTCCTGTTAGGTTACAACATTTTGAAGAAATTCTTAAAGTTGTTAAACCTTCGAATTTAAATGAATTTCAGACAAAGGTATCTAATTAATTAAATGGAATTTTTTTCTTAAAATCATCTAATGTTTTTCAATATTTTAAAATAACTAGATTCCAGATATACAGTTTTCCGATATATTTGGTATTGATGAAATTATTGAAGAACTCAAGGTAAAAATTTTCTTTTATGCATGCATATTGACTATTTAGAGTATACAATTTTGATTTATTTTATTTATTTATTTATTTTGTCCTACCTTATCAGTTGACCGTAATTGAACCATTCCATAATCCAGAAGAGTATATCAAATTTGGAATTTCTCCACCGCGTGGAATTCTAATTTATGGTCCACCGGGTGTTGGAAAGACAATGCTTAGTTGTGCTATAGCTGCTGAAGCTGGAATAAATTTCATGTTAGTTGAGGTTTGTTAAACTTTAATACAATAATAATATTAATCTTATATTTGAAATACATTTGCCTAAAGTTTTTGTATATGTGACTAAATATTTCAGAGCTCACATGTCAGATCAAAAATTGTTGGTGAATCAGAAAATAATATTTCTAGGATGTTTGCCCAAGCAAAAGCCAATTCACCTTGCGTTTTGTTTATTGATCAAGTAATACTAGTAATACTTTTATAATTATTGTTTATGTTTGATATAATATATATTTAAAAATGTTACGTAATTAGATCGATATTTTGGCTTCAATTAGAGGTGCCAATGTAACAACTGAAAATACAGAAGATCGCATCGTTACAAGCTTCTTGACAGGTATTGGTTAACTATATTACAGTACCTGAGTACTATTTGCTGAGAATTATAATTTTATCCAATATGGTTATTTTTTATTTGATATTAATAAATATTTTATTCTTTTTAGAAATGGATGGTATTTTTACATCAATAAGTAAAGAAGGGCCTGAGGTTGATGTTTTAATTATTGCAGGTAACCAATTAATCAGAAATATTTTATTTAATTATGATATAATTATATATATAGTAATTTATGTTTTATTAAATTTTAGCAACAAATAGACCTGAAATTATAGATTTAGCATTTTTAAGACCTGGCAGATTGGATCAACATATTTATATTCCACCGCCAAATTTTGAGGTTTATATTTCTTACTTATTTATATACAATCTTGATTATTGTAATTATACAATATTTTTATTATTATTTAGCAACGTAGTTCTATATTAAAAGGCATGTTGCAAAAAATGCCAATAATTATAACAAATGATCAAATACTAGATTTAATTCAAGATACTGATGGATTTTCAGGTATTTGTTTTGTTTTATATATATATATATTTTATTAAGCTTTATCTAATTATTTATTTTGGTTGAAATTAAGGTGCTGATTTTGAGAATTTGTGTAAAAAAGCAGCATTAATTAGTATTAAAGAAAATATTTATAATCAAAAGGTAAGTTTATTTGTTTTATAACAAATTAAATAGTTTTAAAGTTTTATTATTTATATTATATTTTTTATAATAGATTACTTATAATCATTTTATGCAAGCAAAATTAGTATGCAAGGCTTCATTATTAGATTATAATGGTTTTGTTATAAATAGTTATAAATAATGTTTATTAAAGTTTTTATAAAAAATTTAACAGATTATTTTATTAAAATAATAAAAAATTATTTTTAATTGTAATAAAAGTAGATTTATAAAATATTAAACTTATTTGATATTAATTTTTTAATATATTGTTTTAAATTATTAAAAGTTTATAACAAAAAACAAATATATATATATATTTTTAAATATTAGTGGTGAGGTTATGTCTTTAACTTTATTAAAATTCAATTGAAGTTTTTACAAAGAAAAGCTTGCTTTTAAATTATATATAAAAAATAAAGACTCAGACATATAATCTGTGACCTAAACCTAATAAATAATTTATTTATTTTAATATAAATATAATAAATATTGTAAAATTTATATATATAATAGAATTGTTTATAAAATAAATAGACATATATAAATTATTACAAAATTATATTATATAAAACCTAAATAGTAAGAATGATGATTCTAATATAATGGTTGAATTGTCATCTTTCAAACAGTAA